GCTGCCCCCCGCCACCCTTCTCCAACCACAGCTTGGAGGATCAGAAGGGAAAGGAGGAGGGAGAGGTGTGGAAGGTAGGAAATGAGACATAGGAGAGCAGGGAGGGGATACATGGGGACGGAGACTCCAGCTGGCTGTGAGTTCTAGGTCCTTGGGTTCTTCTTTCCCATAAGCTTCTGCTAAGTGTTCGTGACAGAGACAGCAGTCTTGGGGGACAGGCCTCCCCTCCCCGATCCCTTCCCCCGCAAGCGCATTGCAGCCAAGCCCCAATTGGAGGGTGTAGGGAGAGGCCCATAGGGGCTGTAGCACAATGATGGGGGGGCGTCCTAGAAGGGGGAGCAGGTGCCTTCTTTCAGCAGCAGGCCCAGGGTGGGAGTTGGGTGGGGGTGGGCTGAGACCCAGGCCAAGGCTCAGGGCCCATCTGAGCATGTCGCCTGCTAAGGAGGAGCGGAGGCGGGGGAGGGGAGGGCGGGGAGGTGAATAAATAATAGGAAATAAAACTTCATGAAGCAGAAAATAAAAGGCAGATTATACAGATGTGGCAATTTGAAGGATCATTGCCTCTGTCCTCCTTTTAACTGCTGCATCTGGAGTTTTGAAGCGGCTTACCCTCTCCCTCCCTCAGCCATGTCCCTGCCTGGCTGGAGGCCCCCACGGGGCCAAGGCACGAGTGGGGACAGCACCTCTAACCTCTCTGCCGGTGACGGTCCCTAGCACCATGCGCTGCTGCCCGGCCTCCACTGAGCCTGTGGGTGGAGGGTGAAGGGTGGGTGCTGGGTGTTTCGGGGCGAAGCCCTGGGCGAGGTGCGGCTGGGGCTGCGTTTGTGTGAGGAAGGGGAACAGCTGCCAGACAGCAGGGTCTGGGTGAGGACAGGACTGGTCATGAGGAAGGTCACAGGGCGGGAATGACAGGAGGGAACGTGGATGGTCAGGAACTGAGTGAGGAAGGGCGCCCCTTGCCAAAGGGGCTTTGGCTGAGGGGTAGCTGGAGGGTGAAGTTTAAATCTCCATATCTTCCTGCACGCAGCTTCTTTCTCCCTCTTCGTCAAAATTCATTTGTTAAGCTTCAATTTGACACTGTGCCAGGTGCCATATAAACAGACATGGTCCCTGCCCTTAAGGAATTTCCAACCTAAGACACACACACACACACTGACATTTTGTTTATTTTATTTTAAATATTAATGTATTCCCCCACCTTGTTCCAGAGAGGATTTGAGACAGCTCACAGGAAATGCATGCAATAAATTAGGAAAATACAGATGAGAACTAAAGTATTGGGACCCCAGAAAATGCAGAGTGAGTGGCCCTGAGCAGCCCCCATTGAGCTGGAGATCGGCCTTGAGTCTCGTGATAGTGGCCAGGTGGAAGGGTTTCATGGTTGCTTACCTGACTGAGAGAGTCGTCGCTTTTCTGTCCATGTACCTCCTCCAGACCCTGCTGTGTCACACCAGACGGAGACAAAGACGTCAGAAAACCAGAAGCTTCCGCCTGACACCAAAGGTGAGGCAAAGGCCCGTTTGGCTCAAATATCCTCAGAATCCTGGTGTGTCACCTCTCAAGTCACAGAACTGTCACAGAATCATTAATAGAAACAGGGGAGTCAGAAGGGGACAGGTTTAGGGGGACGACACTAAATCCAGTCTTATGTGTAATAAGTAACATCTGTACAGAAACTTATCCTCTCCGGGAAGAATATTGAGGGCCGAGTCCTGCCCAGTTAGACCTCCAGGGCGAAAGCCAGGGCAGAGATCAGAGCTGAAGGTTTATTTACATCGGGAGGCTTTCCGAGAAGCTATCCTGAAGGCCTCCGAAAGCTGCACCGTGGGGGAAGACTGGGCTCGGGGGTAGGAGGAGAAAGCAGTTCTTTCTCTAAAGAATATTCTTTAGAGAACTTTTAAAGAAAGTTCTTTCTCTAAAGAACGTGGAAGAAGGGAGAAGAACCAGGAGAACATGGAGGCCAGAAGCCCAGGGGGATACAGCTTTGAGAGTTACACTTTAGGACTGCAGGTGTTGGCTCCTGAGCAAAGGGAACCAGCTTGCCCGGCTCCTCCCCTTGGGAAGCGTCTGTTCCACTAGGAGCAGGGACAGAAAGAAGAGGGAAGGGAATGGGGGGATAGCAGGGGAAGGGAGGGATGTAGAAAGTTACAGACTTAACTGGGGAGCAGGGATCCAGGAAGGCTTCCTGGAGGAGATGGCATCCAGATACAGTTGGTTTCCTCCCCGTCCTGGTACCAGTAGTACTCAGAATTTCTCCACAGCTGGTCCCAGTCTCCATCCTTTCTGTGATACGGCCTCACCACCACCCCATCTCAGAAGGTGGACTCTGCCTATCCTAAGCCCCTGACCCTGGTGATTGGCTCAGAGATGGGCACATGGCTCAAAGTGGGCAGCTCAGAGAGACTCTGTTGCTGGACTTGAGTCTGAACTTCCCAAGAAGCAGATGGTCTCTCTGTGTTAGACTGGCACCAAGAAGAGGGCCACTTGGTAGCTCCTGGGGCAATCTTGGGACCACGAGGGCTCCTCCTGCTTCCTAGCCTGGGAGATGGAGCCCAGAAGAACAGAGCAGGGCCAGGCTCAGTGCAGAGCTCTCGCTCAAGCCTCACCTGACCTGGATATAGAGCGACTCATTATGGGAGAGATGAAATATCCTCTCTTTTTTTGGCTAAAGCCCATTTGAGTTCAGATTTGTTACTTGCAACTTCCAGGCAGAAGAAAAACCAAGGCCTTGCATTTGGAGAGCAGAACCCAAGCGGGGCCCCCCGGAGGGGAGGGTGCATGGGGTAAGGTCAGTAAGGCCATGAGCTAATAGCTAACTTACTAGGCTTTCCTTCAGTGCCAGGCATTGTTCTGAGATGTTTACGTGCATAATTCTACTTATTCCTCACAAGGACTCTGTGAGGTAAATAGTGTTATTATCCCTGTTTGATAAAGAAGCAATCCGGAGTATAAGAGGGTAGGTAACTGACCTTGGTTAGACGGCTAGAAAACAGACCATGGGGGCAGTCCAACTCCAGGTTCTAGCTGCTGAGACCAGATCATGCTGGGCCTTGTGCAGGGCTAGGCAGGTCTCTGGGTCAAAGGTCGCTGAGAGGTGAGGGGCATGAAGGCTGAGAAGACACTGGATTTGATGATTAAGGGTCACAAGTGGCCCTTCTGGTATGTCCCCATTTCAGAGATGAGTACCACAGAAACCAGTTTGCAAGGTGTGAATGGGAGCCAGGTGTGAACAGGAGCCAGGTGTGAATGGGACCCAGGCAAGGGAGAGAAACAGCAGGCAAAGACCACACATCTGTGGGTCTCAGCTACAAGAAGCAAGGAGTCAAATGCCCGCTTTTCTTTTTCTTTTTCCTTGCGTGGGCGATATGCTGGAAGTTGTTTGCAAGGGATAAGAAGGGGGTAAAAGTAGGCCCAAAGACCCAGATGGAAGCCCTGAGGGAGAGAGGTCACGGCACGCAGGAGAAACAGAGGTGGTGTGTGGTCTCAGGGAGGAGGTCGGTCCCAAGAACGCAGTGAGCACCTCTTCTGCTAGAGAAGGGAAGAGGAAAGGACAGGTAAAAGTGTAAGCCACAGTGAGATGGCAAGGGGGCAGAGACATCCAGAAGAATTGATGGAGAGGCGGGGGGGGAGGAGCCGTCGTGGAGAGTGTGGCATTCAGGAAAGCCATAAGTACGTGTGAGTATGTGCAGGCATGCGCCTGGGGGCGGGGGTCAGGGAGGGAGAAGGGCCAGATGGCGGATTGCCAGGTTGTCCTAAGTTTCCAGGCCACTGGTTTTTCCCCCCCTTTTCATTTTTTATTTTAGACTTAAAAGAAGTTGTGCAGGCAGTACAGAGGGTCTCCAGGCCCCATTCCGACTCTCCCTATTGGCCCTATTCACTCAAGTCATTTCATTTTCTTAAAGCAGGACTCCCAGGCTGGCTGGCTATCTGTCAAGCCACGAGTCTGGGCCTCTCCTGCTGGAAAAGCACACTCTTGGGCTGCAGGCAAGGTCCCATGTGACCAGGCCCCACCCCTCCACTGCTGTGTTTCCCTTGCCCACCCTCACCCCAGTCCTGCAGCCCTGCTTCTTCCATTATAGCCCATCTGTTGTCACCATCGGACTCTGACCCCCCAAAAGGAAAGGACCCAAGCCTTGGGCCTCAGCGGTCTTTTGCTCTTTTCTGGTACCCAGCAAACAACCAGCAAATAAATGTTATCAGCAGAAAGCCACACAAAACAGAGATGCTGGGAGACCAGGAAGAGATTACATCTGGGGTATCACCTGGGTCACGGCAGGCCCAGGGTCCCAGAGGCGGAGTCCCCCTAGAAGGGAAAGGAAGAGCCAGAGACAAACCAGCCAGCCTTACAGAGCCTGAGCTCGTCACCAAGAACCTGTGCCCGTCCCATTGTCTGCAAAGAGATGCACCAACCCACTTCCCAGGTGGGAAAGGAAGCGAGGGTGGACACAAGGTCGGACAGATGCCTGTGGGCCACATCTGCCCCACACCTCAGGAGTGGGACTGGGAGCTCACTCAGTGTTCACTTTTGTGGGGACAATTCTTTGAGGGAACTCTAGGCTGCCCCCATATGGCTCCAGAAACTCTTTTTCTTCTCCATCTGCAGAAAGATGTCAGAGTTGCAACCCTTCCCATGGCTGACTTCTCCAGAAGTTGGGGGCCCTGGCTTGGACCACTGTGGGTTTAGGGAAGTGGAAGGTCCTGGCTCTGGTGATTCCTGGGGACAAACAGACTAACTTCCTCTTCCTCAGGGAGCAGAGCTCTGCAGCAGGACACCTGAGCAGGCAAGCTTGAAAGATGCAAGCCCGCCCCCCAGTGGTCGCATGTCAGAACTGCAGCCTAGCCTCGCCCTCCCCACCTCCCCAGGCTTCTGGTCCAAGCCGCGCCTAGCTGCATTGGCCAGGTGGGGTCCCACGGCCCCCATCTGTCTCTGAAGGCTTCAGATGCCCAGGTGAAAGACAGGTGCCAGTCCCACATGGGCAAAGAAGCATCAAACTGCCACATACATGCAAAAATGCAGACAAACCTCTGCCTTTTATTCTGGTTTTAGAAAGAAGGATACACGTTCAGTGAGGTCAAATAACCCACTCAAGGCCAAGCTTGTATCGGTCCTGGGGCAAGTCACCTCGATCTGATACTAGGTTTTCACCTATTAGCTGCACATCAGTGACCCAAGCTGCTTTAAAAATATTTATCCGTGCCTCTGACCCCAACCTACTGAATCCGAATCCCTGAGCAGAGTGGGAATGTGTCTTCCGCATGCCTCTCCAGCAAGACGAAGTGTGCCTCTGCCCTAACAGCAAGGAACCCGAGGACAGGCTGTTACCTCCTGGAGGCCAGAGGCAGGTTCCATAAAAAGTGGTCAATATCAGTTGTGAAATGAATGAGTGAATGAATGAGTGAGTGGGTGAACAAATGATTCCGAGGTCCCGAGGCTCTGACAGCCTGCACACAGTGTTCCACACCCGCACACGGACACACACATTCAGACGCGCACAGGTGCCCGGGCAAAGGGAGACCCAGCCTGGGATCCTGCAGGGGGTCCCAGCTGCGCCAATCCCCCCGACCCTTGGTTTTTCGCACACACACGCACACCTCCTTCTTCACTGGCCTGCAGTTACTGTACACCGACTGAGTACCCGGCCCTGCCCTGAGCTGAGCCCTGGCCAGACAACCCCTGTGGTCTCCGAAGGGCCAGCCCCGCTTGGTGGCCTTCCAGGCCCCAGGGCTGGTTTCTAGCATGGATGGGAGGAGAGGGGCCCCGGCAGGAAGGCTGGAGAGGCCGTGCGTCAGCCAGCAGGCGGCAGCCGGGCAGCAGAGGCCCCTCTTGGCAGGCAGCCTGCTCGCACACTTGGCTGAACAGAGACAATGGTGGCTGCTTCTCCATCCCAGCCTCCTTCCCACAGGCAGAGCCCGAGGTCCATCAGTGTCCGGAACCTCCCCCAGAGCCCAGCTGGGAGGCAGCCAGAGGGCAGCACAGGGGGACTTCCCAGGAAGGGCAGCAAAGCCCCCTGAGAGCTGGCAGGGGGGTGAGGGATTCTGGAAGGGTCCCTGGTGCCCCTCCTTGGGAATGCAACTTCATGGGATGGGCTGCGTGGGAGGCAGCCAGGCTTCCACCAGGCCCTCACAGCTCCCAGACCAGCTCCTTCCAAGACGGCCCCCAGGGGATATATCATGGCCTCTTGCCCCTCAGCCTCTCCCAGGTCTGAACCTGAGGGACCTCCTTCCCTGCTCTGAGGAAACAAAGGCCCCTTGTTCCCAGGGCTCTCCACAGAGCTCTGGAGGCCCCATGCCCTCTGGCCTTCACTGACCACCATTGGTTCTGCTCTGATGATTAGCAATTGGGTGTGTGGGGTGTGGCCTCTCCCATCTGCCCCAGGTGCACGGGTGATTGTGGGGGAAAGCATACAAAGGCCTGGGGGCCCAGAGTCAGCATCACTGAGTTTGTCCTCGAAGCCCCAGGAGCCCTACCTCTCAGGGGGCAGGGCCGAGCCACCCTGCTCTCTCAGTCACCTGAGGCTGCCTGGGGTCTCCCAGGACCTCTCACCCCAGGCCACCTGACTCCCAGAGCAAGACTGTCCTCAGGGCTGTGGCTCCCCTGGCTTGATTGCCCAGAGGCTTCTGCTACCCCAGCCTCCCTTCTGGAAGCTCAGGGCCCGCGGGTTCTTGGATTCTCAATTGAGTGCTGAGCTGCCCCCAGGCCCAAGCAATGTGGCCACTTTAGACTGTGGAACAGAGAAGGGTGACATGGGAGCGCAGCCCACCCCTTGACCTCTGTCCTCCCTTGGGAGTGAGCAGGGACGAGGGCAGCTGGGGGTTGCCGTGGGGGTGGGCACAGCAGTAGCGGGAAAGCTCCAGCAAAGGGGGCAGTGAGGACTGCAGAGGAGCAGGGGCTGTCCTTCAGCAGGAAAGGGAGGGCCTCCTCCCCAGTGTGGACCCACTGAAGCAAGTCTCCTCCATGGGGTCTCATCTCAGGTCCCTTCCCCCACTTCTACACCCCAGAACTCGGGGCCTGAGTCCGTGAGGCCGTCCCAGCTTCAGAGCTGATTGCGGTTCCTCTTGGGTATGATCTTCCGGTAAGTTCTGCGCTCTGAGATGTTGCGTTTCACCTTGGCCGTGGTGGGGGCCTCCTCCTGGTGCAGGGATGGGCTGGAGTGGGACTTCTTCAGGCTGGGCTTGGGCTCCTGAGTGCCTCCGGCTTCCCTCCCCAGCTGCTCTTCCCACAGGTCCAGGTCATCCGAGGGGCAGTGCAGACGGGCCACCAGCAGCTGCACGTAGGTCTCATAGCGGGTTTTCTGCAATACATGGCCCTGCCCCCTTAATACCAGCCGGGCTTCTGCACAGGAGGAGGCCAGAAGCATGCAGGGCAGACCTCTCCCACGTGTACAAAGCTCTTGACAGTAAAGATTTCTGCAGAAAGAGGGCTGGACCCACAGCCAGTGTCTGCACTGAGCTTGAGAAAGCAAACTTTGCAGAACATGGCAGCCACATCGCCAAACCCTGCAATTACCTGGACAGGATTCTAACAGCACCCACCAGCCCAGCCCTGTTCTAACAGCCTCCACCTTGTAGCACTGTAACTAATGTCTCCAGAACGTGTTCCATCCCCCAGACACTAAAAGATCCATAACCCGCTAGGCCTGATCTGTGCGGCATTGCACACAAACAGCTCACATCTGTACTGAAGCCTAATTGAGTCTGAATCGCATTTTAACAATTGGCATCTGGAGAGCGGGATGCTAACTACCTTCATCTGTTTAACACTCGGAAGGCCTCTGTAACTAGCAGCCTTCGGATAGGGTCCCAGTGTAGTAACTGCCTGCTCACCCTGGGTGGCTGGGTGGCCCAGGAGTCCTTGTCTCCACTTGATCAAGAGGGCAATGAGGTCTAGGGAAGGCCTGGGGTTGCTACAGGTTGCAGCTGGTCATAGGTAGGGAGAGGCTAGAATTCTGCAGGCAGAGCTGGGTCCTGTCCCCCCAGGACTTCTGGGAAGCAGTGCACCTACCAAGCCAAAGGCTGGGCCACAAAGGCAGGGAGGGGACAAGACGAAGCCCAGCACACACAGCCAGAGATGACACAGATGCTCCCTTCTCTGGTCTCTGCCTCTGGGTGGCTCTGACCCTGTCTGTTCTCATACTGCCCCTCAACTGCCCCCTCCTGCTTTGGGTCCCAGAACGTGCACACTGACCAGAGGCATAAAGTGTAAGGGGGGATGGGGAGATACAATGGGGGGTCAGGGGATAAAACAGTGCAGCATCAATCAGAGGGGTGAAAAGGTCCTTGATGAAGGCTATAAATGAGATACAGCCCTGACTGGAGTAGGATGTGAATTCATGGGGTTTGGACACGTTGTTTCATTCCTCCTTGCCTGTGTCCTCCCCCTGTAAAGTGAAGATCATGGTCCCTACGGCAGTTGTTAGACAACTAAACAAGGTAATACAGGCAGTATGACAAACGCCATAAATACTGCCTATTAGGACTAGGCAGGTATTAGGTGAAATAATTAAACTAAACCACAGTTTTTCTTTCAATTTAAGTGAAGCCAAGTACACTACACTCTTAGGTGAAAGAAACTGATCAAACGTCTCCTGTGAGTGTTTCCAGAAAAGCATCTTCTATGAGCCCCCAGGACAAGAAGTAAAGGGGTCTGAGTGCACACGAACGCACAGACTTTGCGCACAGCCCTTCATATGAATTCGCACTCGGGGCCTCCCCCAGCCCTGAGCGACCCTGGGGAACGAAGGCTGCAAGGCCGTATGTGGCCACTAGAGGGCGGAAGAGGGCCCAGCCGAGGGGGGTGGGAAAGCCCAGCGAAGGCGGAGACTCCGCAGCCTGACCTCATACTCCAGGTACTCCTTCCTCAAGCGGTACTCCTCCAGCTCGCGGCTGCGGCCCCGCCGCTCCGGTAAGTTCCTCTGCAGATCCAGCAGGTCGTCGGAGGCGGCGTCCAGACAGTTCTCGTGGGATCGATGCTGCTCCTCCTGGAAGCGGGAGGCGGAGAGGGAAGCTGTCCCACCGCACCCCTATCCGTTCCCGGCCCGAGGTGCGCAGCCCACCGCAAACCCCTCAACGTTCTGGACCCAGGTGCGCAGCCCGCCCACCCTCCCTTCGTTCCCGGGCCCAGTGCACAGCCCACCCCTCTCCCGGTTCCTAAGGCAGGCGCGCAGCCCCGCCCTCCCATCTCCCACTTCTTCCCCGGGGCTAGAAGCCCCCTTCCCCGCCGCACCCGCCCCTTCCGGGGCCCCCGTACCAGGGAGCTTTGGGCGGGACCTATAGGCAGGATGGGCCGGACGAATCGGCGCTGGGAGCCCACCGCGGCGGGGAAGGGCGGCGCCGAGTGCGTGGCCGCGGCCAGGTTGATGCGCGCGATCCAGGAACTCATCTCCTTCGCGGTGCTGAGGGCAGAGGAGACCGTCAGACCCCAAGGTGACAGAGTCGGTCCTGCCCCTCTCCCCCCACTCCCACCCCAACCTCCTATGGTCTGTCTGCACAGCCTTCCAGACTCGGGATTCAGCGCTTCAAAAAGCCAGAAGCCCGCCCACCAGTCGAGGTGGTTGACCTGTGCTGGTGGCTTTTATCATCCGTCAAAGAGGAAAATCTAGGAAGGCGGTAGATTTTTAGATCAAATTGGGGGGGGAAATCGATCACTAGTGGGTTCAGAAGTAGGAGGCTCGACCAGGCGCTGGACCAGTGAAGAGGCCCGTTCGGAGGCAAAGTGGGCGGGGTCGGGGGAGCAGGTGCGGCCCAAGGACCTCTGCCACCAGCATTTTCCTGCTTCCACCATGGCCCCCGGCCAGCAGCCATCAGAGGGTGATGAGTGAGGAACCCGGGAGAGGCAAGCCGGGGCCTTGCTGCTGGTCCATCCCCCCCACCCCCCCACCCCCGGGGACTTACGGAGCCTGGAAGAGGTAGAGGCGCCAGTCGGCAGTCCGCAGCTGGAAGACATGCGGCTTCTTGGTGTAATGGGTGGCCGGTGTGGCCAGCGAGTGGTGCACCCCCACGGGCTCGTCCACCATCTGCCCCACCAAACTCTCCCCTGCAGGGGGGCAGTGGTCCTCTCCCTGCAGGGGCAGGGGGTGGGCAGCACAGGGGCTCAGAAAAGAGGTAATCATCAGTTGCCCACCCTCCCAACCATTCTGGGCCCTTCCCTGCCCTGCCTGTCAGGGCCACGCACCCCCTTCCTACCTTCAGGAAGTAAAGGACCATCCCTCGAAGCAACGTGTGGAACATCTTCCAGCCGCGCTTGCCCCACGGCGCTGCCCCAGGAGCAGAACACAGCCAGACTCAGACACACACGACCCCTTCTCCCTGCCAACTTCATCCCTCCCCAGGTGCACATAAACACGCAGCAACATGCCAGCACCACAAGACACAGTCACAAAGAAGCAGGTGCCACACCTCACACCCTGGCAGTTGCACTCAAGCCCCACCAACAACAAAAGCAGATGTCCACACTGACTGTCCCCTCTCTCGACACTCCCACCCACAAGCACACTGCCACCAGACGTCTTTCTGGTCCCATCCTGAGAGGCACAGGGGTTCAGCTCCTTGTGCAGAAGAAGGCAGGCTTCTCCGGAGTCACCTCTCCACCTTGCTCAGGCCCTGTGGCTTCTTGAAGCCAAATGCTAGTTCCCTGGCCGGCTACCTCACCCTGTCCCATCCATCCAGGACCCCATTACTGTTCTGGTCCTGTCACTGCCCTGCTATAAAGCCTGCACCTATCCGCAGTGAGGCCAGATGTACCTCCTGCCGTTTTGTTCCCAGCAGACTATGCCTGCTCCTTTGTCTGGGGGGGATGCCCCCTGGCCTCTTCCACCAAGGTTCAGCTCAGATACCATCATTTCCCAGAAGCCTCACCCATCCCTGTCCCCCACACCTCACCCCCAAGTCTAATCAAAGCCTGCCCCTCCTCCACACCCCCATACTTGATCTCCCCCTCCCTACACCCCTCAGCCATTTCCACCTTTTATCCCATATCCCACTGATGTGCTCACCTAACCTCCCCCTTACCACCGGGGCCTGGGGAGCAGGGAGTACCTAGGTATGTCTTGTCTCTGAACCCCTGTCCCTGGCATCTTACCTGGTGCCCAGCACATGATCCCCATCAAGGAAGCAACAAAGGCTGCCTGTCCCTGCCCTGACTGTGCCATCCCTCTGCACCCCAGCCCCCAGGTCACCTGCGCCAAGCCGCTCGGCACTCTCGCAGGCACGCACACACTTGGGTTTGGTGGCGGACACGAGCCCTCCATGCCACAGGGCAGCAGACACTCACTCTTCTTGCCGTCCGCATCGTGATGCATCTTCCGGGCCAGGATGCCCTGCTTGTAGGTGGGCGCCGTGGGGTTCTGGGCCAGCTGCAGGAAAGGGTTGCTCAGCTTGCCAGTAGGGGGAGACACCTGGGCCTTCTCTGGTCGGCCTGCATCTTCTTCATCCCTGGACATCAGAGAATCAGGTTGGGGGTACTGACAGGCAGAGGCCACCAGGAGGTGCCCATGCACCTGTACCCCAGGATCCCCAAAAAGGAGTCCTTCAAAGCCAGCCTATCCATTCCTGTCATCCCCACCCCCCACGGCCCCTGACTTCTCCAGGTGTTACCTGGGCTCCTTCACCCCTTGGAGACTCGCCTACGGCCCGGCCTCTGGCTGGACCCTGCTCAGAGGGGAACACTGTCCAGCACCTCTCCCAGGCTCATGCAACTCTCAGGTAGGCAGGTGGAAGGAGGACAGGCCCAGGGACAGGGGAGAGGGGCAGGGAGTGGAGGGAAGAGGGACTGTCACTTACATAGCCCATTCAAGCTTCTCACTTCGGATAGACCAGTAGAGGGCCTAGAACAGAAGCACACAGTGGGCAGGGAGCCTCGGCCCATGGGGCCCAAACTCTGGCTGGCCCAGGTCAGACAGGGCCAAGCTACAGTCTGCCTCTTCTACCCCCAGCACTGCTGCCTTCCTCCTTGAGCAGGAAGCAGCTCCCGCATGCATCCAGCTACCCACGTGTGCAAGCGTGTAGCCACTGATGGAGCGGCCATGTGCCAGGCACCGTGGCAGACGCTCCAGACAGGATGAGCAAAGCAATCCTAGTCCCTCCCTGAGCTTAGGGAGGCCTGAACTAGTTCTCTGGGAAAGGAAATGAATCATCCAGTACCATCCTGCCCTGAGGGATGGGACAGAGCAGGAACAGCCCACCAAGGTGGGGGGGGCAGGCAACAAATGGATGGTGAAGGAATGAGTCAATGAGGCACTGGGACTTGGAAATGATCTAACAGAGTATTCATGTCCATGCAGTCTTGCTTGCCTTTTTAGCCCCGGCAATGTCTAGCAGGGCACCAAGCACACAGCAAGCGTTCTAGAAACGTCCACCACGCAGACAAAAGAACCAGAGCATCGCTGCGTATGAAAAGCCAGCCGTGTGCCCCGCGCGCTGTGCTAGGCCCCTGATGATGCTTATTTCATTGTGAGCACCATGCCGTAATGTAGTCGCTACCCCAAGAGGAACTCGAGCAGGCCAGGGGGTTAGCTGCCCAAGACTAGAGTTCAAACCCTAGAACATCTATCTGGCTTCTAAGTCTTAGACTTGCTGGCACTTGAAACTCTGTTCTTTGCTCATTCCGAAAACCAAAGACCCAGTGCATCTCAAGACTCGCCATGCTCAGAATCACCTGGAAACTCCAGAGAACATCTTAGGGGTCCCAGCCCCAGGGATTCTAATTCAGTAGGTCCAAGGCAGGGGGCCTACGAGTTCGCACAAGCCAACAAACTCTAAGGTGTGGCTGCTGGTGCCTGGGACGCACACTCTAGTACCTTCCATACACTGGCCATGGCCTCCCGAGGACATTGCAGCAGAGCCAGGCCCAGGCTGAGCATCGCCCCCACCTTCGGCGGGGATAAAGAGCTACAGAGGGAGCCCCGGTATCACGAGCCCCGGGAATAGCCCCGTGTGCCTTACCTTCAGCAGCTCCTTCGGGAAGTTCCCGCCATCTTGCAGGCCGTTCAGGTTGGTGATAAATTCCTGGCAGCTCATGCTCTTCCCAATGTTCTGTGACCATTGAGGGAAGGGAAGTGAGGCAGCAGGAACACACTCCCCCCCCACACACAGAATACCTCCCCCCACCACCGTTGGCCACTCTGGAACCTTCTCCAGTTCTCCAGACCTACCTCCCCCAGAGCCCTTCCATGACCCCATCCCAGGCCTCTGGCCTCAAGTCCCCCGTGCCCTCACCTGTCCGTGCAGGTCCGTGTTGAGGAGCATGATGGCACAGGTCAAGGTGTGAACGGAATCTGTGCCAGAGGGAGGCGAGTGGAGAGAAAGCTCCTTAGAACCAGGACTCCTGCCTTTCCACTGCCCAGGCTGGGTGGGGTGACCGCAGATGCTTTTGGGTCTCCGTAGCCCCCCAAACACACGCCCATGAGCTGGTACCCAGTAAATGCCTGAGCAGACCCAGGGGACACTTCCATGCCATCCCCCAAGGCAGCCCAGCGGGCCCTGCCTTCAGGGCCCGCCCCCTCCCTACCTGCAGAGGAGAAGGCCCCCGGATTGCAGTAATGGAAGCGTTTGGAGAACTGGTAGAGGATTCGCTCCCGCTCCTGAGTCTCCCCGCTGAGCACCAGGGCCTGGAGGAAGCCCCTGGAAGGAGGACCAGAGTCCAGAACAGGGCCCAGGCTGGGGCAGCCTGCAGGCTCCAGAGCTGGGGGCCAATCGGATTCTGGCCTTACCAGGGCTACCACCTCCCAGTCATCCCTCCTCCCCAGAGAGGGCCTGGAGGCCTTACCGGAGGGCTCGGTCCAGGCTCTGGCTTCCAAACTGGAAGAAGGACAAGTACTCCTCAGCCACAGCCCTACTGAAGTCATTGCTGTGAGAGGAAATAGGAATGAAGCCCGCAGTGGGGGGTGGGGGTGAAGGTGGGGGTGGGGGGTTGTCTGGGCTGGGGTCGCAGATGCCAAGGGGCCGCAGGACCCGTGCACATCCCCAGAGGGTGAGAGGGCGACGGAGTAGCCAGGGTCTGGTCTGCCATGGGCACCCGTCTACTGCTGAGTGGGGAGCACACGTGGAGTTGGCTGGGGGAGCAAGGTGGCCAGGCCCAATGGCTCTAGGCAGGGCTCAAGAGTGTGGAGAAGGGGTGACAAGTGGGACTAAGAGGAAGAGGCAGGCACTGCCCGGGGACGGATTAGGACAGGAAGGAGGGGATGAAGGTCAGCAATGGGGCGGCTGGTGGACGGAGTCTGCTGACCGTGCCTCCCTCTCCCGACACAACCTCCAGCCTTGCTCAGGGTCAAATCCCCTTACTTCTTCTGCAGGTAGGAGGCCACTTCAGACTTCCGGAAGCCTTCCAGGTGATAGAGGCGAGAGGCCAAGTTCCAGGCCACCTTGTCGCTGCTGACACCATTAGCCAGCTTGTCTCCAGTCTGTGGCCTCTGGCCTTCCTCCGGGCACTGCGCCTGGGGCATGAGGCTCTCAGGAAGCCTGCGAATGTCCAATAGTGTCCTCAGACTTCCACGAGGGATGGACAGGTGGGGGTACTGGGTCAAGTGTCCCTCCAGGTCAGTCATGGAAGGGGTGATCAGCAGGGGAGCTGGAGTGGTGGAGGGAGCAGCTGGACCAGGGCATCACTGGGGAAACTCATGCCTGGCCTGGCCTGGCCAGGCCCAGGCACTGGGACGATCCAGAGACCTGGCATACCCAGCAGGCTGGCAAGGGCGGGAGCCAAGCTTAGCATGCGGTGCCTTCTCAGGTCAACCACAAGGACGTTCTGAGACTAGCTCACCTCATGCAGCAGGTACAGCCCTTTGAAGATGTCAGTGATACTGAACCCATCCCCAGGAGGGACGGCACTGGTGTCCCCGACCCCCACCAGCCACTTGTCTCCCTCACCTGTCCTGCCCTGCTCGTGATGCCCCCTTGCCCTCCTCCCCTGCCCTGCCCCAGCCCCAGGTTTTCCTCCTAGAGCTGGCGACAAGGAAGGTGCAAGGGTGAGGGGAGATCAGGCTTCAAGCATGGTGACAGCTGGCAGCGGGGGTGGGGGGCAGTCAGAGGTTGCTTCCTCTGACACACTCGGAGGACACTCAGCATCTGACACTCAGAACTTTCGAGGCAACCAAGCCCAGTCTCTGCTGGACTCTTCCATTTCCCCGGCAACCCGACCACCGGGGCTGGGGGATCCTCCTTATGGGGTGTTGGGATATTCCATAGCCCAATGACCAGAGTTAGGGAGCTGGACAGGAGCAGCATCAGCAGCACCTGCAAATGTTCCCGGGTAAACCGACACTTATAACACGAGGCCACACCCAACAGTCCCTCTGCCCGAACACAAACGTCCATCTCTGCCCCCGCCTGGGCTGTGTCTTCGCAGCTCACTCCTCCCTGAGGCTCCTGGGGGTGTAACAGCACCCCGCTGCAAAGGGACAGACACATCTCGCCCCCCCAAAACACAGGGCTTCATGAAGTCTGTGTTAGTGAGGCCAGAAGATTCTAGGAGTCGCAGGAAAAGCCACTGACAGACAAGGAACTGGAGGCGTTAGTCCGGTGGGCCGTCGGAGAGGAGAAAAATGACAACACACTTGTCACATCTGAAGAGCGCTGTTTGATAATCAGCTGAGCGAGCCCAGAAATGACCTCGTGGATTAGTGTTGTTACAAAAATAGTATCTAGATGGGGAGTTGCTTTTGGGGAAAAAAAATAATGCAAATATAAACTGTCATGGGATTGGGTACTTTAAATGGGTGCACTGTACGGTCTGTGAATTATTTCTCAATAAAGCTATGATTAAATTCATTAATGGAGGTTTGGGACCTGCTTGGGATTCTCTCTCTTCCCCTTTCTCTTGGCCCCTCCCCCTCCAAAAAATAAAAATTAAAAATCAAATTAATTGATTGGAATGAAATAAAATAAAACAATAAAGTATGATAAAAATAGCCTCTGTGACCTCATTGTGACAGTCAAGCACAAAGGAGAGCTCCCATGGGACCAGCACACTTGGGCCAGGAAAATTAGCCCAATATTGTGCTGAAAATAAGACTGAACTTCTTTGTGTAATAATATTTAGCATCCTAGCAAGAAAAGTCCTAATTGATCCTTTTTCATTACTTACTATGAATATATGGTTCTCATTTCAGGTGGATCTACTTACTTTTCTCTTGGGCTGAACTTGACTTTAGTTTTGGTATGATGAGCCCTCTCCTCTCAGATCCAGAAAGACTCCTCACTGATTCCCAAGCCTCCCAGCACCTCCAGAGACTGAATGGTTTTCCAGATGCATGAGAGAGATGTTTTCGTTTTGACACTGCCTGAGGTTCTGTCCCCATCACCCCGTGACACGGAGATGGGGGGGAGGGCCGACCCTCCAGTTAGTGCAACCCGAACAATCACGGTTCCCCCTTGCCTCTTCAGGAGGTCCCCTCATTTCCCAGGTGGAGGCCCCAGGCGCTGGCAGCCCCCTGCAGCCTCTGGAGGGAGGCAGACATCTAGCTTGGTTTCCCCATGGTCCCCTTGGTTTCCTGTGTCTGGCCACAGATTTGGAGTCATTCGATCCTGCTATGGGGTCCCAAGATCCACTTCCTTGGTTCCAGTCACACCTGCCCTTGGTGTTCTGGCTTTCCCCCGAGATCTGAGCCATACTCTCCGCCTAAGGTTCACCGATGGGTTTCTCCCAGACACCTCCTTCAAGTTCAAAGCAGTGTGTCATCCCGCCCCCATGACAAGCTCTGACCTTCCCGCTCCCCACCCTGCTTAACATGACACCCATTTTTTCTGGGTACAGAGCCCCCATCAGGGCCCTCAAACACCTCCCCCCGCTTCTCTCCTGGTGTCCAGGCTCTTGGGGCATTGCCTTGCCACGCGCAAATCCTGCCCCGTGTGTAAAACTATCTGCTTTTTGGTTTCTCATGCTTTCCAACCCTCCAGTGTTGCTCAAAGCTGCAGGCACCCAGTCATACAATCCTGGCTTAATCGATGTTAGTATATTAAATCCCAGCAGGCATTTCTCATGCTCCATCCAGGCCAGGGAATTCTTAAATGTATCCACAATTAGAAGCCAGAGAGCGGGGTCGTCGGACACTTACCCTGCCGCAGAGGTCAAGCACACGCCAGGCTGGACGGCACCAGCCTCAGCAGTCCCGGCTGGGCCTTCACTCTTCACTTCCTCCCCTGGCTGTGGGGGCTCTCCTGCCTCCTCTTTCTCCTGAAAGCTTGGTTCTGCCCCATCTGTCTCCAAGAGTGAAGGGCATGAAGCTTCTAGCGTCCGCTCAGGAAGACTGCTGCACCAGTTGGGGCCCTGGGGCGATGGGCTGCCTTCCCATGAGGACACAGGGCTGGGCCTGGGGCCAGGGCCTCTGCTCTCAGACTCGGGGCTGCTGGGCTCCTGCGATGAGGCTGGGCTCCCCCAGGGGCCAGGAGCCAAGGTGCGCAGAGCAGACTCCTGGGGACACTCAGCATCACTGTCACCTGAGGAAGAACATGGAGGAAAGCTGACATGGGGTGAGAGGCAGGCTGAGGCCAAGGGGCCCCACAGAGCCAGGAAAACAGCCTGGAGGGCCACCTCCACAAGCTCCCTCCCTGCAGCTCCACCCCCTGGAACTGGGCAGCACGTTCTGTCCCTCCTCCGGCTGGGGACCTCCCACACGCGGAGGCAGCAGGCAGAAGGCTCCCAGGACTCCAGACCCCAGGCAACCCCCAGGGTTCAGGGCTTTCTAAACCACTAGGACCCAGGCATCAGAAATGCTGGGTCTTTGGCACATTTCTTCATGAATTCTACGAAATGAGCATTTTCAAACCCCTTGTATGAATGAAGTCATAGGAGAAGCAGGATTTCACCCCTGGTCTGCCTTCCACACGATACAACGGGACTTCTCAATGCTGTCTGCGGATCCAAGGACAACCTTTGTGCCCCCCCAGATCCAAAGCCTCCCGCACCCAATTTCCCAGAGCCCATAAGAGGTCTCACCTTGGTCCTGGGAAATCAGAGGCACCCCAGGCCAGGAAGGACCCTCTTCCATCTGCCAGCCTTCTGGGCTGGGCAGGGCCTGTTGAGAGAGGCACAGGATCTCCGTGAGCCCTAGAGGCACTGAGAAGCGGGGGTAGGGGAGAATGACTTTGAATATCCAGGGCCCTCCCTCCCTGTTCTCTTCCCACCCTGGCAACAGGGCCCTAGTCTCATCCGGAGCCCTCAGATCAGAAGAGGAACCCCAGAGAGAAGACCTGCATCCTAGGGGTACTGGTGCCCGCCCTGAGAATCGAGAATCACCGGGGCTCACGTTCCTCCATACAGATGGGGAAGGGGAGGCCGAGAGAGGGGAAGTGACTTGCCCAAGGTTGCACAGGATGCCTGGCAGAGCTGGGGTCAGATCCAACTTGTCCTGTTTCCAAGGTCAATACTTTGTCCACACCGGATGCCGCAGATGGGGTGGGGCCAAGACTGTCCCCCAGAGAAGTCTTAGAGAGAAAGAGAGGCAAGAGGTTTGACCCAAGGGAAACTGTTCTTAGGGCTTTTAATGCACCCCGCTAGGCCTCGGGAGCCCCTCCTCCATGCTCACTGATTTCCAGTCTTCTCTGTCCCCATCTTCCTCCCTCCATGGTCTGCAGTACCAGCCCAAGGACCGGCTGTATTATAGGGAGGGTGACAGCGCCCAGGCACTGGGGCAGAGCAATGGCCACTTGCTGTGAGGATGGGGCTCCCAGGCATCCCCCTGAGGACCCCAAGGACCCTAGAGCAACAAGATCACAAGAACGCACTCTCACAGGACAGAGCCACAACACTGCAGCCTTGGGGTTGGGAGACACTGACAGTATCTGGCAGCTCCTGTTATCTTAGGGTCAGGTAGGAGATCCACTCTGGGTAATGACTCTTCTGCATTTTCTCTGGGACCAGAGAGATTAGAAAGTTATAGTCCCACTCTGCCATCTTGAGTTTCCTTATCTCTTGAGCAGAAGTTGCCCTGGGAAAACTGTGCTCCCTATCATCTCATGTCATTTGTCCCCAGAGCTCAGCCCAGTTGCTATTAAGGATATCTGCCATTGTCATGAGGCCCAATCTATCCACCCTGGGGAGTGGGGTGGAGGGGTGGGAATGAAAGATGGTGAACTCAAAGTAACCAAATGCCGAAATCTCTCAAGAAAAGGCCAGACTCTTAAAACAGATATCTCCTGCCTGGGGCAGAGGTCATCTGGCCTGTTATGGTTGGGAAAGTCCTGGAGGTGGGAGGGGTCGAGTCTAAGAATGGCCTGGAACACACTGCCTTGGAGGAGCTGTTCGTTCTCCAAATGTGTCCAGACACAGTCCCTGGAGCTGCTGAGATGGAGACATTTGTGGACTTAATCGCCAGCACGTTCCGTTGACATCATGGCATTTGTACAATGTCCTGTAATTCTGAAGGCCACACTGGGCCTGCTTTTCTGCTATATTGCTTCAGGATTCCAAAAGGCCCTAACATCGAAAAAGAGTGTTCTGGGCCCAGTGACCACAGAGAATAGCCCTTCCTTCCCTGTCCCTACGCACAGTCTTGGGTGGGTCCCCAGGGCTCGGCTTACCTCAGTCTCCCCACAGTCAGGAGGTGCTTCAGGGCTCCCCTTGGTGGCCTCATTCATTACAGACCACGAGAAAGAGTGAGGCTTGTAGGTGGGTACAGGGAATGGAGGTGTGGTGTGCCCGCTAGAATCAGCTGTGCCAGCCCCCAAATCCAGCTCGCTGTCCAATTCCCATAGGACTCCCCCTCCTGGGAGAGGAGGCTCTAGGATGTGGGGACACTCGGGCTTGGGTCCCACATCCATGCAGGAGTCTGAGAGCCCCCAGGACAAGCGAGCTCCAGAAGGACTGTCTGAGCAAGGGCTCTCCAAAAAGAGGGGATTGTCAAAGAACAGGCTTTCCTCCTCAGCACCCCACTCCGGGGAGGAGTCTGTCCTTCCCTCCCTGGGCCACAGGGAGTGCTGGTTCTCCCCCTCAGTGCCACTGCTGTCTCCTCCTGGGGCCTCATCCACTGGTGAGTCATCCACCGGTGAGCTGGGGAGGAGGCCTGAGCCCTGGGGGCCTGTGGGGCTGGAGGGGAAAGCGGGGAGCTCCACAGGGGCAGCGGGGAGGCAGCACCTCAGCTCAGCCCTGAGCCCCTCTGTCTTCTCCAGCTCCTCTTCCAGGTCCAGGACACACATCTGGGCCTGCAGGATGCCTGCCCAGAACACCACCTGCGTGGACGTGCTCTGGCTCTGCCTCGGGCTCCCCAGGGGATGGCTGTTCCCTGGTGACCCAGGGGGCACTGCTTTGTGCCTGGGCTCCTCCTGGGAGGAACTACTCCCCAAGTGCAGGGGCTCCATGCTGGAGCCCCCAGGGGGAGCATCTGGCCTCGTAGAATCGGGAGGCTCCAAGGCCCAGGTCTGTTCTCCATGAGGTTCGGGAGGGTCGGGAAGGCTGCACGTGTCCCTCAGGTGCGCCCCTGGGCCAGACTGCAGGTTGTCTCCCAAATAGAGGTTGAGAAATTCCATGGGCTTGGGGTGTTCCGAGAGTCTGTCGTCTCCCATCATCCAGTGTGCAAGCTGCTCTGGCGCCCCCAGAAGTGTCTGCCTTCACAGTCCCATGGTGTGGGTCCGGGGCAGCGCTGGCGGCAGATGGGGGGGCAGCAGGATGGGGGGATCCACACGCCTACCCTGGAAGTGCCGAAAGCAAATGCGTGTTAGCGAAGTGTGCTCAGCCCCTGGAGGCCCACATCTTGTGTATCAGATAGGTTTCCGGGGGTTGCCGCAGCCCCGGCCCTGGCCGAGGGGCATGTGTCCTCCACAGCCTTGCCTGGTGTGAGGGGGGCACCAGAGACGCTGTCCACCCCCAGTCCCCCCACCTCTACTGCTCACACCACGGCGGCCCTGCTCCAGAGACACCTGCCTGCTGGCTGAAGGTGGCCGAGTGACCTCCCTGAAAAAGATAAATGGGACATCTTCTTGGGCATTAGGGGCAGAGAACTTAGACACTGAAGTGGCTGGTGGCAGGAATGGCAGGTGGACGTCCCTCAGAACAGCATGAAAGCCGTGGTAAACCGAAAACACACATCAGCCAAGAGCGTGAGAGCCACGCAGACACAGACTCCAGGCCAGGAGCCCTGAGGGAGGCACAGGCACCCAAGAGAGGAAGGCACAGGCTGCCTTATTTCTACTTCCCAGGCCTCCTGTCCTGCCTCATCTCAGCTGGGGGCCCCTCGCAGGAGGACCCCCCAGTCCTGGGGCCCCACCCACCAGCTGTGAGGGGAGGGGAGGCCATGGCAGAGCCCACCTGCTCAGACCCGCCCCGTGCATCGGCCACACTAGTACCACGTGCATGCAGCCAAGGAATCTTGAAGGGTATTTTCCAGGACCACGTGTCTCCCTCCTCTGCAGGTAGACAAGTCACATGGCTCTCTGGGTGGCCCTGCTTCTTCAAAACAATGGCTTGTTTTGGTCCCATGGACAGCCGTTTCCCCCTGGGCAGAGGATCCCAGGCAGCTCAGGGTTAAGGCTATGGCCCTTCCAGCACAGTATGGTCCCCAGCAAAGAACGCACGCGTGACTCCATCACATCTTCTCAGGTCTTCCCTTTGGCCACTTCCTTCACTCAGCATCTGCACCCTGAAGTCTTACATGCACTTGCGTGCTGTATTAAACTATTTGGGGGAACAAGGGTATAAAAAAACACACACGTAGGGGCGCCTGGGTGGCTTAGTGGGTTAAAGCCTCTGCCTTCGGCTCAGGTCATGATCCCAGGGTCCTGGGATCATACCGGGCATTGGGCTCTCTGCTCAGCAGGGGGCCTGCTTCCCCCTCTCTCTCTGCCTGCCTCTCTGCCTACTTGTGATCTCTGTCTGTCAAATAAATAAAATCTTAAAAAAAAAAAAAGGAAAGAAAGAAAGAAACACACACCTGCTCCCAACTTGTAAACCACTACCCCTACCCCTGCAGCTGCCTACCTATGGGCCCACCATCAGACACTCAATAAATAGGAATCCCCAGGGCTGGAAAACCAGGGTCAGATGAGGGGCCTACTGTCCAAACCTACTTCCTGAGGTCACCTAGGAAACATGGCTTGGCACTGCGCCCTCTTTCAGGAGGGTGCCTGACAGAAATGACACAGGACCACCATGAATTTCAGTTTCTTGTTCCTCCTGAGAGCCTCTGCCTAAAAGTCCCTCAGAAATAGAACCCCTTTCTGGACTTTTCCCTCTCTGTCCCAACCCCCCCACCCCCACCCCAGTCCTACCTCGGAGCAAGAATATGTCATTGCTGAACTCGGGCCTCATGATCCTGAACTTGCAGTCCCTGGGGAAAGCCAGCCTTCAGGGCCACCAGGTTCTGGCAGTGACTGTGAAAATTGTGCTTTCTCCAAAGCTGGGGCTGTTGCTTATTTTTAATCTTGGATACGATGCTCTGAATCAAATCAGTGTGCACTGGTCTTGCCCTGGGCTCTTCTTGCATGGGTCTCCTAGCTTAGCCTTGGCTCCTGCTCAGTTCTTTGTCTCCACTCCTAGCCCTGCCCCCGTTTATAGGCTGAGGACGCATAGGCTTTGCTCCCTAAGTCCTCAGCCGGCTCCTCAGAGGGCCAATCCCAGAATACCTCCCTCCCCCTAAGCAGCCGTCCATTTTCTACTCTCCATCCTCTCTCTGTAAGAGAGCTGCCATGGTCCTCTATCCAAGGGGAAGGGAGGAGTGAGTCTCACAACCCACTGTTTATACTCTGGCAGCCCTTCCAAATCCATGCATCCCTCCCCAGGCCAGTGGGAGAGAGGAGGTGAGATTCCCCCACCGCAGCCTTCTGGAGCAAGTGGCCCACACGGTACCGGGAACACTGGGAAGGCAGTTCCATTTAGGAGCCAGAGGACAGAGGTGGAGGGAAGCACCTTATTTATAGCTCTCTTCCCTCCCTCCCTGCCAAGACCTGGTCTATTTGTGCTTGGCTGGCCCTCCTCCCCACACCCCTGCTCTGGTTCTCATTGCTCCACACATCCACACATGGTATGTGACTGCGTGTCAGCCTCAGGAACATGGCCCTGCGCCCACGAGAGCATTTTGCCTGGATGACAGCACTCCCCCTACTCTCATTAGTGAACTCACTTGATGGGAAAAGTTCAAACGCCCATAACTGGAATGAGAAGAGCCAGCAGCGGCCCATGGAGAGGACATCCTGCCATTTGTATGAGACAAGAGTCCCACGTATTCCTCTTTGCAAATACATACATCTAAATAAATCTGTGCATGAATTAAGGAGCCATAAGGGTGGATGTTCATGACTCTGCGAGGCATCAAAGCTTACTGGATCTGCCTGCCCAGAAGAAGCCAGGTGATCCTCAATGCACTCCAGTGGAAAAAAATCAGAGAAGCTGTCGCAGCTTTCCAGAGACCAAAAAGGAGGGAGCAGATTTCTGGGGCCCAAGGAGTCTAAAGGGCCTGAGGGAGGTAGGGATGGGGACTGGGGAATGAAGGGAAGCAGACAGACAGACAGACAGACAGATGGAGCATTGGGTAGGGGAAGAGGTGTACAGTTTGGTTGGGCCACGACTCCTCGGAATCAATTAAACTCACCCTGGCTCCACCCCAGCCCTCACTCCCCGTCTCAGAGCATTTAGCGCAGGGTGTGACCGCCAGTGCTTTCCGGCACGCTAGTCTGCATCCCCTTCCCAGAATGTGAGCACCAGGAAGACAGGCTCCTTGTGCTTCTGTTCACCTGTCTCAGCACAGAAGTACTGAAGGACTGAATCGGTTGCGTGCATGTGTTATGCCCACACCCGCCTCCAAAGTCCTGGGCATTCCTTATACTTCAGTTCAGTACATTTGGAAGTTAAAGGTCAGTGTCGCCTCGAGAAGTTCCGGACCACCCGTGGGACACCTGGGGGGTGGTGACAGAGCCCACTGGGCAGTGTTCCTGGCTCTAGGCTGGCCATTCCAAAGGGGCAGCACACAGCTCCACGGTATAGAACAAATACACATACAGGATGCCTAATCTTTGGGATATGCTTATACTAAAATTTTTCTCTGTTCAACTGAAATTCAAACTTAATGGGCGTTCTGTATTTTACCTGGCAACCCCACGTGCAACTCACGGGGGGAGGGGAAAAGAACGTACCAAGCCCTTGCAATGCACCTGTCATACAGCTCGGTGCTTTACAGCCGTGAGCTCATCTGCAGGTCTGGACAGCCACCCCACAAACGAGACAACTGGTAACATTTCCTTCCTACTAAAAAGGAAGCAAAGACTCAGAGACTGACAGAAATGGACCCAGGGAGCTCAGCGAGTAAGTAGGGGAGCTGGGGTCTGCATCCAGGCCTGTGGCTCTCTTAAGCATCACTGTCTCTCCCCCATACATACATCAATTCCCTTGGGCCTTTGTGAATTGAATGAAGCATGAATTATTTTGAAGCAGAGAGTCTCTTGAATTCATCGGTTTTACCACTGTCCAGTGCAGTGCCTACTTGACTCAGAAGTGGTACTCTGTGGAATTCTGTGGTACAGAATTGTGGTCCTCTGAGTTTGTGGAATGAAGAAGATGGATGGATGGATGAATGGATGCAAGGGAGGGACAGAGGGTAGAAGGGAAAAATAGATGGATGGATGGACAGATGGATGGATCGATGGTTGGCTGGAAGGGAGGGATGGATGGAAGGATAGGGGGAAGGACGATGGATGGATGGATGGATGGATGGATGGATGGATGGATAGATGATGAATGGATGGGTGGATGGATGGATAAAAGTGAAGGATGTAGGGATGTGTGGATGGATGATGGATGGATGAGTGGGTGGGAGGGATGGATCCTCAGAAAGCCCCTCCTCAAAGATCTTACTAGAGGACTAGGAAGACTGAGGCTTAGAGGAGATTAAGCATCATTTTGACCTCATGATTTCCTCCCAAGGGCAGTCTGCCCATGAATCAATCACATCTTCCTCCCAGGAAGCCCAGTGCCCTTGAGGCAGAGCTTTCCCAGAGGTGGGGTCCTTCCAGGCCAGGAGCCAAAATGTTCGTATGGGTCCTGGCTCCCACACAGCAGCTGGATAGAAAGGAGGAGACATGAGGAAGACCCACCCATTCAATCACCTTGTTTGGGCTCTCTGCCTGTGCGAGGCCACTGTCACTGAGGATTTAAGAAGTGTCTCTCCTCCCCTGCCCCCTTTCTTCTTCTCATTCTTTCTCTTTCCCTTCCCCGTCTCCTCTCTCTTTCTCACCTCCTTTTTAAATTGCTCTTCCCTGAATGAAGTGATAGAATGAACTGGGGGGTAAGGTCACTTCCTAAAGCCATCAAGGAAGCCCCACCACTCACCTGAGTGGGGGCAGGCTGACCCGGCCAGGGGCAAGGGTGGGGCAAGGTTTTCTATTTCCTGGAGGGAGGGTGGCACCTTTTAGGCAGAGGTGGGCCAGGAACTGGGGACCAGAAGCTCAGGTCTCCAGCGCCTACAATTTTCTTGGTTTACTTTCTTTTCTCAGCCCCGGTATTCAGTGAAATCTCTGTTGAATGGCTTGTCTCAGGTATCCTAACCAGAACAAAGGAGGAAAAAGGTCTGCCACATGCCTCATAAGGTGGGTTTTGTTCACCTCCAAAATAAAGTGGCCCTTCGATGGTTTGTGGAATGGAAGGATAAGTTCCAGGAGAAGTGGAATAACTCTGGAATCCAACAAAATGCTCTGAGCTCTTCAGACAGTGAGAGGAAGGAATGGGAAGGAGCTGAGTCTGGCAGAGAGGGAGGAGGTGGGGGGGACACCCCCTTTCTACCTTAGTGGAGAAAACTGCTGGGGCCAAGCAGCGCCTGGCTGATGGGAGTACAGGACGCAGAATCTGACTGCTGGGGGATCAAGGGGGTGTAAGTCCCTCCACCCCTACCTGACCTTGCCCTGTCTTCAGTGCAACACTGTCTTGATCTTGGGGGCGAGGAGACCCGTTGGCTCCGGGATTGTAATTTGGAAAGTGGATTTGCTTTTCACCACTCCTGCCCCCAGCTTTCTGCTTGGGCACACAGCCTGTACCCTCTAGTACAAGGAGACCACAGGAGGCTGGAGGAGAGCCTGCCCCGAGGGGGGAGATGGTGCCTTGAATGTCTGCAGCCCCCCTCTGCCTGGAGGCTCACGGACGAGACTCACTCAAGTCCTGCCTACAACTGATGAGCTCTGTGACTCTGGTCAAAAACTTTGCCTGGTTCCTTATCTATAAAATAAGGAAATAAGATGGAGTCAAGCTATTCTATAGATCTGTGATAAAGCAGAACGGGTCTGGGAGCTGCTACTGCTGGCCCTGCCCCCTGGTAGGTGCTCAGAAACAGCACATCCTGCTCAGTTCAACTTTGCTCCTTTGCTGGTCATTCAAGAAGCCAAAACAAACAAGCATACAGTCAACCCTCCCAGTGGGCTCCCTGGGCACTCAGCCTCCTCCTGGAGCCTCCCATCTCTGTCCCTCACTCCGTTTAAGCTTCCAGACTCAGCAGACATTCCTTTCTTTTGCCATGGCAATTTTTCCTTCCAATGGAAAAAGCAAAGGCTCCTCGCCCGCCCAGGGATTTAAGAGGCAGCCTGTGCCCACACAGCCCTCTGGAGAAGCTAGGTGAGGGATGTCATCCTGGAAGGCAGAGGAATAGAGAAGGTTCTTATCTGGAGTTACAAGACAGATGCTCCTGCCTGAACCTGGGCCAGGGCGCCATGAGAGACAGCACTAGGGGCAGCCCCACATCCTGCCCACACGGAAGAAGACTTCATGCAAGTGTGCACCGGGAGGGGGGTGGCGGTGGAGGGGCAGTGGTGCTAAGGACCCTGCGGGGGTGGGTGTCAGCTGGGGCTCAGGCAGAGAGAGAGAACAGAGAGGGTGCAGAGAGGATGGGATATAGAGAAGATGGGAGCAGAGAGGGTGGGGGAAGAGAGAATGGAAGACAGAAAAGATGGAGGGCAGAGAGGATGGGACAGAGATGCTGGGGTATAGAGAGAATGGGGCAGAGCACCGATGCGTCTCCAGAGCAGCTGCCCCCTGGGAAGGACAAGGACCCTGAGGAGGGCTCAAGGCCAGGCTGGACCATTCTCACCCCTTCTTGGGTCCCCCCCTCCTTGCCCAAAGAGCCCACAGCCCAGGTTCTAAGCCCTGTGCTGGGTGGTTCCTCATCTGTAGAAAGCAGCAGTTCTGAGATGTTCTGAAGCTCCAGAAGGCTGGGGAGACAGGACCCTCTGAGGCACGTTGTTTTCAACCTGGCTAAGGTTCAACAGGCCTGAGGGGTATTACTGTCTGCTGACAGGTCACTCTCCCCTGCCTTTTCAGCAGAGGAGTGACACCAACCATACGATCTTTGGCCCTAGGAGGACCTTCCCTCTGGGAGACTCCCGTCTACCATGAGGATGACAGCTACAAGCAGAAGGCCTCAATGTCCTGAACAGGGAGGCGTCTGTGAGTAAAATGATGGCCGTTGCACCTAAGGTCAATGGGTCAAAACATCAGCTTCCCTGGCAAGCCAGCTACTGGCGTCCCTAGCACCAACCCAGCCTCTCGGAGTACGGCGGGAGGTGAGGTAGAACCAGTATCCCCCTCATGGTGGATTCTGTGTCTGATCTCCCACAGTGACTGCACCCAGAGCTGCCCCCCACCCAAAGCCCAGGCCTGCCTGGCTTCTTTCTCTTCAGCCTCTCCAAGGCTCACTGGAGGCCTCTGGCCACAAAACCCCTCACTGGGTACCACCCCACAGTCATCACCAGGGACCCAGGGAGGCCCACAAGGGGTTCAGGAAGGAGCCCCTCCCCCCATAACGGTAAATTACCCCCCCCCCAGCGGCTCTGGAGAGGCCAGGGTAAGTGGGGGCCAGACTGGGAGGGGTAGGTTGAGGAAGGGAGGGGTACACAGGGAGAAGGAAGATGAAGGTGACCGCTCCAGCCCTGCCAGGCCCACAGAAGGTGCGGACACATTGGGCCCACAGAGTCCTCCTTCCTGTCCACCTGCCCCAGCAGCTACCACAAGGGCCCACATGGGACTCTCTGCATCCCCTGCTCCCCCCAGCTCCCTCCCGGCCCCCACCCCCCGCAGGGCCACCTTGCTCACCTCCAAAGGCCCTGGGAGAGGGCAAGCAGGCCTTTCCGATACAAGGGCCGTCCACCAGTGAATAGAGAATGTGGCTGCCGGTGCTTCCGACTTCCGCTCCCCTCACCACCACACGCTCAGCCCTCCCACCCAGCGGCCTCCCCAGGGCTCCCGAGCTGCTCGCCACCTCACACTTCCTGCCCACAAGACAAGCGCCTCCATTCCCAGGCCCACTGCCTCTGGCCCCCTTCCCCAGGCCGCCCGCTGCCTGGTGGCCCCTACCCTGCACCAGGCCCAGAGAGAAGCGCCAACGCCCTTCTCCCCAGTCAAGGGCCCCAGTCAAGGGCCCAGGGAGAGAAAGGGGAAGGTGCTGCGCCTTCGGCTGTGGACAGGCCCCACCCCCTTCCTCCCTGTGGTTGTCCCCAGGTTCTCATCTCTGCCCCAGCTGGCAGTCCCTGGGGGACAGAGGAGGGCCCTGGGCCTGGCAGCTTTTCTTTTTTTTTTTTTTTTTTTTTTTTTTTTTTTTTTGCATAAAAGATATTGGGAACTCTGCGTGGCTTCCTCTCCCGTAGGTAACAGCGGAGCCGAATGCCGTTGTCTTGCTTTACAAAGCATCCTCCGGTAGCACCTCAGCCACCCCTCTCAGCTACTTTATGAAGCATTGCTATGTCCATTACAGACAGGAGGCAGGCTCAGAGAGGTTATGCTGCTGCCTACGGTCACACAGCTGAAGTTAGAACTCAGAGTGTCTGACCAAGAGAACCAACTGCCATCCATTCCCCATTGCTGAATTCCCAATGGGTGTCTGCAGGACACAGGTCCCAGGTGTCCACGAGTGAGAGACAGAGGCTGGTGGGGAGCCACGCTCATGCAGCAGTCTCTTCTCCCTCTGAACAACCACCACCAACATCCCTGCTGAGGCTCTAAAGCCCCTGTTTCCCGCCCCTCAAGCTCCAGGCCGCATAATTCTGAGCGCCCCAGAGACCCTGCCACTTGGGAGTCCCAGAAGCAGAGCGCCTTCTGACCCAGGCCATCCCAGCCCGTAGTTTACAGGCCCTAGCTCCAGCTCTACCCCTCCTCCAGCTGTGTCCCTCCCCTACAAAGCCACGCCTACCAGCCCCTTCCCCACCACACTCAGAGCACCCAGGAGCCTGGAATTCTCTGCTTTGGGGGCAGTGGGGGGTGGGCACGTGCCATCTGCCTGCCATGAGGCATTGCTTCACTTCTCTGTGCACCACCCTCTCTGAGACAGGGAGTAGTGTGGACCGCACTTGCACCTGTAGGTAGGTGGCCCTCCCCATGCATTGTGGTACAGGGTAGAGAAGGGAGAGGGGAGGCGGGGAACAGCAGGGGTTGGAGGCTGGAAGTGGGCCCAGCTGCATGCTGTAGCCACATTTGCAGGAGGCCGAGAAGCTCAATTCAAACCTGGACCTTCAGGTCACTATTAAGATGGGAGGCAGGAGGATAGGACACTTTACAAAACACTTTGTCAGCTGCGGTTGTAATTTTTACATATTCAAACACATCCGATGGGGCCCTCCACTGTTCATTCTCTGGGCCTGCCCAACGGGAGGGCAGCCTTATCTCGCGAGTGCCTCAGACTTAGTGCAATGTTAACCTGGTCGTCACCACCCCAGGCAGCCCCTCCTGTATTTGGGATTTTATAGAACTGTGCCCAGGTATGTATACCAGAAACCCAAAGTCACCTCACCCTAAATGCAAACCCTCCACCAAGGCCTCGGACTTCCCAGGGCCCCCACGCTGGCAGGGCACCCACTCCTCCTGTAGTCCCTATGTGAGAAGCTGCTGACCCGTCAGGAATAAAACACAGGACATATGTCCCCAGGGAGTGTCCAATCTAGTGACAGGGGCAGAAAATAGACAAACAGCCTAAGTCTTCAATATCTGATTGTAAACTGTGACAGATGCTGAAGTAGGACAGAGTGGGGAGCAAGGAGGGCCAGCAGCAGGGACAGAGGCAGGAGACCAGCCTTGCTCATGGGGGCCTGTATACCCTGGTAAAGGGGAGCCAACATGTCTAATTCCTTGCCTGAGACTAGAAAGTTCTCCATGAGTTAAGGGGACAGAAAGCAAGCCAGTGTGGCTGGTCAGCCAGCTCAGGGGATAGTGGGAGAAGATGAGGCAGGACCGGATGCCAGGGGGTTCCCAGTGGGCAGCCAGCATGCAGGCTAAGCAGGGAAGGGACAGGTCAGGGAGCACTGCTTTGCTGGTTTGTAAGATCATCTGTTGCTGTGTAGACAAGAGCCAGCCAAGGGCTCACCGAGAGCAGGGAGACCAGCGGAAGCTCCATATTCCTGGGGAGGCAGGCTTGGAGCAGGGCAGAAAGGGGACTTGGGATACACACTGGGCTGAGTGGGCAGGCCAGCTGCCATCGGGGGTTGGGGGCAAGCTCTGGATTCCTGGCTACAGCGACCAGATGGGACAAATGGCATTCGCAGAAATAGCAGGATGGGGGAGATGAGGCTTAGGGGAGAAAATCCCGAGTTTGCTTTTCAAAGTATCAGGTTTGAGATACCTGCGAAACTCAAGCAGGCTCCTGAAACCAGGCCTGCAGGGGATGGGAGGGCTGGGCTGCCGAGGTGAACGCATGTGAGCAGCACAAAGGGGCTAAACCAGTGGCCAATGGAGACTACGAGGGACAAGTCTGCAGAGGGGAGTGAGGAGGGGCTGCCAAGGAGAAGAGAGAAACATGGAGAGGGTGTCATCACCGAAGACAAGAGGAGGCGATAACTAGAAGGAGGAAGTGGTCAGCTATGTCAAATGCTATTAGGAAAGCTAGGAAGATAAGGTGCAAAGTGGTCATCAAATGTGGCCGCACGGAGGTCATGGGCAGGTAGGGTTGGGGGAGCAGGAGGCACGAGGGGCGCCAAAGCCGGTGGCCATGAGGTGGGGACTGAAGAGGAGGTGAGGACCTGGGGTCACCTCCCAGACCCCGACTCCGGGCTGCCCCCTGCAGTCCAGCCTGGACGCAACCGCAAGGATGCTGGCACCACTGAGGCTGTGCAGCAGAGGCCTAGCTCCTAAGTGCCCACAGCCACTTGATGAATGAATGAGGGAAAGCAACTCGTCGTCTCCTCCTTGATCGCTTGGGGACAATGCCACGGGAGAGGGAATGTGCCCCCTCTTTCCTCCCAGGCTGTGAGGCTAGTCTGCAGGCATACAGGGCATGTGTTTGGCGGTGTGGGGCTTTCCTGCTTACAGCAATCTCCAAAAACAGATGCCCTGACCTGAGCAGCCACCAGCTCCCTTCCATCTCCTAAAGCTCTCATCTCCTTCCCAAGGTCGCCAGGACTAAAACTCTGGAGGCGGGGCTCCCTGGACACAGGCAAGGAGGGCACCAACTCAGTGGCTGTGGGGCTTGGATGAGGGCAGGATTCTGATGGCTTGAGCCTTGATCTACCTCCCCTCCCTGTGCTCGGCCCACCATCCCCTCCCCAAGGCCTGGAGGACACCCAGCCTCCTGACCAGGCCACAGCCCTGGGCCACGCAGCCTTGCCAGGCAGCCCCTTCCTGCCTCCCTCAAGGGAAGTGACTTCCTGTTTGCCCACAGAGGAAGCGGCTCAGCACAGGTAGGGAGGTGGCAGCCGACAAGCTGAGCACAGAAGAGGGAATGGGGCCCACCTCCCAGAAAAGGGGCTCTGGGGATTCCAGCACCCAGTCTGCCCTCCTGAGAGGTGCAGGTATGAGAGGAGGGGGGTGGCGGGGAAGGGAGCAGCACCTGACTTACACCTGCCCGTCCCCGAGGGCCCCCGTGCACTGACATTCACCAGGCCCTTTAGAAGCAACATCTCTAGGGCCCATGAGGCCGGAGCAGGAACGGGGTGCTATTATCCCCACTCTGCAGAACAGGTGAGGAGAAGGAGGGTCTGAGCGGTTGGTCTGGCTGCATTTGAACCCCGGACTGCCAAACCGAATTGAGTCTACTTTCTGCTCTACCCTGTTGCCACCTGCATACCACTGATGGGAAGGAGGAGGCCTTCTCTCCAAGCGAGCAGCACTACTGACAGCACAGCCTAAACCATCTCTCCCAATTCGAAGCTTCTAGAAACTCCTGGGCGGATGCGGCTCACTACCGGCTGGACAGTGTGAGAGCTGAAGCCAGAAGCACCTCAGTGGGCTCTTGTGTGCCCAAAGGACAAACTTCTGTCTTTCAGGGAGGCCCGAGGAGAAAAGGCCCTATTCCCTCCCAGTTCTCCAGCCTCCACAAGCCTGAGGCCTCAGGCTGGACAGACAGGAGGACATCTGCCTCCCTAATCATTCCTCTGCAGGGTTAGATGGTTACAGGTGCACTGGCCCACATGACTCTGAGCCCTCTGGGGATCTGAGCCCAGAGCTAGGGGCTGGGAGGAGCTGGGGTTGGAGGGCTTGTGAGAGTTTCCCTGCCTGATGCCTATAGTCCTGGAATGGGAGGGAGAAATCTCTCAGAGGCAGGGCCAGAAGAAAAGGGAGCCCAGTCCGGCAGTAACACCACCACCAACCACCCAACACCTCTGTGGGCCCCAGTGCAGCCCCTGGTTTCCTGGAGGGGGGGCCAGGAAGTGACGATGTCGACAGTGAATGAGAAGCTTCTACCTCTTGGACTCGGTTGTCTAATTCCATGGCAGGCACAGTAACTTTGGAAAATTGTTCCTACCCCGCAGGTCCAGATGCCCAGGCCACAGCTTCCCGGACCCCAGACTCTGTCTGCCAAGGCTCCCCTTCTCCGCTCCCTCCCAGCTCCGGGTATCATAGACTGGCACCCTCCCCGAGACCTCTCATCCTGGGTTTGCCCTCCTTAGGGAAGCCCTGGGTGGGATTCCAGGCATTCACCTCAGTCTCCAAACCCCCTTGGGCCCCAACAGAAGCTCACCAGCATCTGTTGAAGTGGGGGGCCATGCAGTTCTGCCAGCGGCAAAAATGCCTACAACCTCAGCACCCACAACCAGGAACCAGATAATAGATTATGGTAGAGCCCGTAGCCATATGGTGAGCCCCAGGCACCTTTAACTATCTCAGTTCTAGACAGTATTTAATGCAGGGGAAAGAGGGTCACCCCATATTATTAAGAAAACCAATTATATATTCAGTATGCCCTCAATTTTTAAAACCTCTGTGTATTTAGGCAGCAAAATACCAAAGCATCGGTTATTAGTGGCTGTGTGTGGCAACAGGATATGTGATTCAAAGTTCTTTATGCTCTTTTTGGTATGTATCTAATTTAAAAAAAAAAGTATGTATTAGGTTTGTCATCGGCAAAAATAAAAGTATTAGGAAATTAAATATGTTGAATTAAATAATAATTGACTATTTCTGCTCACTTTAAGGACTGG